GTTTTGCATTCTATGACCCCTTTAACATAGATGGTTTCCTTCATGCTTCTCTCAAACCACCTATTTTCTTTTTCCAAAATGTGAACATTCTGGTCCTCAAAAGAATGTCCTTTGTCCAGAAGTTGTAGATGTACCGAAGAGTCTTGTCCAGAGGAGAGCGCACTTCTGTGTTGTGCCATGTGTCTGTGGAGAGGTTGTTTGTTTTCTCGAATATAAAGATCAGAGAATTCTTCACTGCATTGAACTGCATACACCATATATTATCATTATATTATATATTATTATATATGATATGTATACACATATATTATTCATATGGATATGCTTCACAATTCCTATAATAAATATGAATAAAGGAATGACAGAAATTAGCAGCATTGTCATCATAGGTGGGCATAATAGTTATTTAAAAACATTTTCTAGTCTTAGTGAGTAACAGGAAGAAAAGAGTGATGAGTTCTTAATATCTAAGGAGGCAATTACAAAAAAGATTTTAAAAGGCAGGACATGTCATACTTTTTTATTTCAGACAGTCTGGCTCACTGCATTATTTTACAGATCAGTCACCATGGCTAACTATAATCCCTGACCAATAACGTAATGATACAGTAACACAAGATACTAGTACTAGTAGTTTTTGCAGCTTTTGTAGAGACCACAAATGTCTTTCTGTTTAATGGAGTAAATAAAGGCCTGAAATAAACTAACACTAGTTCTAGCAAACCAGAATTGAGCATCTCTGAGTTGTGGTCCTCCAAAAGATTTAATAGGTTTTGGCTTAAAATGATCAGGCAGACCTGCAGTGTTATAATGAGAACCTTAATTCTGAAGAATTTATTCTCTCTAAAACTGTGGCGTTTTGCTTTTTTCTCTATGTCTGATGCTTACCAAGTCCTCGGTCGATTATGAACCAATGCAGCTCTGGATCCTTGATTTGGTCTTGTGAACAGGTTAAAGTTTTCAAGCTACAAACTAAAGTGACCTTTGTCTAATATAAATACTACATCATAGCACTTCTTACTGCCTTTGCTAATGGTAACGTTCTCCAGTAAATTTGTTTACAAACATTTTATTCAATCTCATTCAAATAGAGGACAATAATTATTTTAATCCAATTCCTGTTAGATTTGTACTCATAAAAGACTGAATTATGCTGCTCGATGTAGCTGCTGCTCTGGGAGACCCGGATATGTTGGTGACATTAGCGTGCATTAATACAACGTAATATGATGAAGTGGCATTTCATAAAAATACTTTTGAAAATCACACAGCAAATGACATCATAAATGTCTTTCAGTCATCTTCCAGGTTCTATTTATTGTTATTATTATGGACTCTCATGCTGATTTTGCACAGTTTCTACTGTATCTCAGTCAGTTAAATTGCATGCTGCTGTGATTCTGCATATTTCTGATGTTGCTTCTATTTTCAAATATGCATTACTGTAAAAATGTCCACAGCTGTATATTGGTTATTTATTCTGCAGGTGCATTGATATTGTAAAAACAACTTACAGTACAGTATTTTATTGTTTATCTTTTAACTCTTCACTATTATGTTTTTCTCATACATTTTTCTAAGGTCCACATTTGTGTCACCATTTTTTCTGTTATCTTTGTGCTGCTGTAAAACCAGAATTTCCCCATTGTGAGACAATAAAGGGATTTTCTATGCTATTCTATTGTATTCTGATCTGTTCGGTTTTGTTCTATTCTATTCTATTCCATTCTGTTCTATTTTATTCTATTCTATTCCATTCTATTCTATTCTATTCTGATCTGTTCGGTTTTGTTCTATTCTATTCCATTCTATTCTATTCCATTCTGATCTATTCTATTCTATTCTGCTCTGTTCTATTCTGTTCTATTCTATTCCATTCTATTCTATTCCATTCTGATCTATTCTATTCTATTCTGCTCTGTTCTATTCTGTTCTATTCTATTCTATTCTATTCTGATCTGTTCTTTTCTTTTCTATTCTTTTCTGTTCTATTACGTGATAATCTATTCTATTCTGATCTGTTCTTTTCTATTCTGATCTGTTCTTTTCTATTCTGAGCTGTTCTTTTCTATTTTGTTCCATTCTATTCTATTCTATTCATTTTTAGGTAATCTATTAAAACTTTATAATCAACATTTTGTTCTCCTGGATTGAAATTACAATCTACATGGTTACCTGTATATTTTATCAAAAAGAAAGCTGAAACAACCTTGGCTCATATATTTGGTTCTAACTGACTGTAACACATTTTATCAGAGATTTAGCAGAGATTGTAGCCATTTGGAACTTTTTACTGTAAGAACAGAAAATTTTTGTTTTCCTTACTCAAACTTTGGAGAGTGTGTTGTTTTGCATCCTTTCTGAAGCCTTTGCAAAAACTGGCTTTAATCTAAAGAACAAGAATCAGCAGATTTTAGGAAAACTCTAAAAATGGCTGCTAACTTTAAACATGTGATGCAATTCACTTGAGCTGATGGCTGGATGCTGAAACTTTTGAACTGAAATCCAAAAGGTGCTTTCAGTTATTTGGCTACATTTGTTAAAATTATTTCAACTTTTTGAGTGAACCTTTTTTTTTTTCCATAAAAAAAATTATCTTTACAGAATAAATGTCACATGATCTATGTCAAAAACGTATGCATTTATTCATCCTGCTGCTATATTTTACTTAACAAAGCATGTCTGCGTTTTTCCCAATATGATGCATTGGTAAAAAAATAAAAAATTAAAATTACACATAAAAACCTTGAAGGATTATGGCATTTTGGTTGAAAAAGCAAACTAAACATTTGACATCATAGAAAAGCTAAATATTGACCTCTGAGAATGAACCACCACCTGTATTTACACTGTACTATGCCATTGGAGCTCTTCCAACTCCACAGACAGGACACCATGACTGCATGCATTCCACACTAAACACTGTGTAATGAACTGTAATGAATTATATTGCGTATGTTATTTTCTGTCAGCATGAGATATTAACCCGCTGTTGTTACAGTGGAATTATTAAACACCCTTTAGCGCCATATCACATGGATGTTTGTCTGCAAGAGGATTTATAAGTGGAAACAGGAGGGACCTTTAATGAAACCAGATTATTTTTATAATGGGTATTAGTGATGATTTTACTCAGTCATTATTAAGCACTTGTAAAGTTTTAAATACCCTCATATTATTAAGTCTTGTACCAAGACTTGCATTAGTTTCAGTTTTTTTAATTAAAATCACTAACAGCATGTAACGTTCAAATATTTTGGCGCCCTCTAAAGGTTAATGATTGCCAACACAGTTCATATGAACTAAATAGGTTGATTATCAACAGACTGGGCATAAAAAGCCATCTAAGTGAAAAGGCACACATTGAATAAATACATTTATACATAAATGGATTAGAGTGGGTAAGCTTTGTTCATTATCTTTAATGATACGAGCTCTATGTAATGAAAAAAACTAAAATTTGTTGATGTTAAAGAATGTATTGGACACATAAATGAGTTCAAAGTTCCCTACTGTTCAGGGTTAAAGTTTAAATTCAAATACCGTCTGATTCTGGTTCAGTTAATCTCTGAGGCTAAATCCAATTTCCACTCCTGTACGAAGCTTTAGGTCTTAACCCTACTTTTTTAAAGATTAGGGCGTTCAAATGTTTTTACTGTAATGGGGTGGGAACTAATGGAAGGTTTTAATCAAAGTGGAAAAAGCTGCACTTGATTTCATTGGCAACTTATCAAATTAATGTGGGGCAGTTATATTTTATATCATTATATCATCATTATAGAAAAGTAAACCATTTTACACATATTAAAATTGACGGTTCATTATATGCCAATGTTATAACATATGAATTAATGAATGAATAGGACTTGATTTCATACAATTTGACAAACAATAAAAGAATCAACCAAATACACACAAAAGACTTATTGACCTCAACTAAACCAAACACCAATTTCCAACCTAACTAAATTCACCTGAAGATAAATAGAAACAAAACCCTCCACCAGATAAGCCTGTTAGTATATACAGCCAGAAAAATTACACTGATCAATGTAAATTGTCTGAAAAGGGATATGATAAAGTAAAAATTATTTTCCCTGTCTCCTCTCCCTCTAATTGCACTTAAATTAGCTTAAAGTGGAGTAATATTCTTGTTAAGCTTCTATGTTTTTCATCCAATTTTTACACACACACAAAAAAAATATATACATATATACAGTTTTATATATATATTTTTTTCTTTCTAATGTATAGATCTGTGCGTTTTTCAAATGCCAGTATACATGGCATAATAAGAACAATACATTTTTAATCAATTGGAGATGTTTGTATTAATGCTCAAATCTCACAGAAATATAATCATCATTCTTATATCCATGAATTTTTGTTCAGATCGTTTTATTTTGGGCCAGTTGACTAGATAATGACCACTGATAAAATTAAAATAACTTTTTCCTGTGTGAAGAAGGATTATGAATGTAGTAGAAGTAGAAGCATTATCAAAGAACCACATTTCTAGCAGTAAATTATGAACAGAGTATAGAAGATTGCTGGACATCAACAGTTTACCGAGTGGGGACCAAACCTCGCTCTAGTGGGAAGAAATTAATTGTTTACTGTAAAAACGATCTAGAAATAAGTAAAAAATGACTTTAAGTGTATTACTCTTAAAATTAGATCATTGGACAAAATGCACTTGCAGTAAAACAATGCAATTGTTTTTTTCTTATTTTAAAAGTAAATTGTCTTGTTCCATTGGCAAAGAGTCTCACTTACATAATCAATTCCAAAAAAAGCTCTTATTTTAAGACAAAAAAGCCTTTAATTGTTTTTTACAGTGTTGGTACAAAATACCCAGGAATGAAAGGCACATTTCCTCGTCTGTTTGAAACAACCAAAACTACAAAAGGGAAGAAGTGGCAAAACTGTGAAAGGACCAGTATCTATAGGTCTTAATTATTTACTGTATTCCACATTAAAAAAACACATTAGTTAGTGTGTGTTAGTGTCAATCTCAGTTTTATTTATATAGCATGATTCAACAACAAGAGTTCACCAAAGTGTTTCACAATAACAACAGTGATCATTAAAAAACTGCAAATTCAATCAAAAGGTACAGTGCTAAAAAAAAAAACAGCTGCTAATTGTCGCTGTAAATCTGGCTGATCTGGTTCTGTAATTTTTCAGAAAAATATGTGAGTTTGTCTATTAAAGGAAAATTCTATAAATACAAAAATTAAATTCATAGACTTCCAAACCTACTGAAAAAGACTGAAGCCTGAAGACTGAATGTTTACAATAAAAGTATTAGCTGCCCATTCTAAATGAATTACAGTTATTTATATGTAGATCAGACTTTCTGGTTAGAAAGACACTTCCATAAAGAAGTGAGGTTGTTCATCTCAGTGATCACTTTGTAAAAATAAAACTTTATCAAAAATTGTTGAATATTTGGAATGTAAGAGTCACAACAACAGTGCTAAGCTTTGCATCAGTCAGCGCTATCTATTCCCCTCGATATATAACAATGTTCTTATCCGTCTCATGAATCCGGATCTCGTAGAGCAGGTTGGCGGGAAGAGCCTTCACCATGTTATCCCAGATATAAACGGCAAGGTTTTCTGTCGTGCTGAAAAGCAGAGAAAAACAAAACATTTGGTAAACTGTATATCATTAATCACAGAGAATATTGTTGAAGGTTACACACCTGACTACATTGGTAAAATAAGGAACATCTTTATCCAGGTTCTTGTGGTCCAAAGGAATCATGATGACTTCCTATTAGAAGAAAAGAAGATCTCATGTTAGATTTCCAAACCCCCCAAAAAAATCAAAATAGTCACAACTTTTCTACATCTCTACTAAAACTTGTGCAACAAACTTGACTTTCCCTCATCTACAGACTATGTATGTTTTTCAGGCTATCACATCTAGGATGAACAAGCACATATATTAAACCTAAGGACCAAATAAATAGTCTGATTGACTTATTAATCATGTTATTGGACTGTGGAAGGAAGCTGGAGTACCCAGAGAAAGCCATGCATGCGTAAGAGATGCTTCAGCCGCGCATTGGAACTAAACTTGTACAAGCATAAAAAATTAAGCAGTACGCACGTTTTTGCTGCTATTGCTGCTTTAGGTGTGAATAGGGTGACCAGAAGTCCTGTCCCAGACATGTCCTACTTTTCATACCTAAAAAAATGTCCGGGGGGGGGGGGGGGGGACTTCAAAATCGTCTGGGATTTTGGTCGACTAAAGTGCAGCTGAACCAAGCCGTGAGTAGGGGTGTAAATAATAATCGTTTTGTATCGATGCATCGATCCAACAGCCGACGATCCGATGCATCGACACGTCCGCAAGATAAACGATTCATGTTTTTTTTTCCTCCGGTCTATTTTTATCCATTTCCTCCTGGGCGTAATTCTTCCTCCCGTGCTGCGGTGGCGCTAAACCTATTTTGCCCTCCTACCGCGCTTCCTGGTTATACTCTTACAGCAGTGTGTCGCAGTGAGCTTGACACAGACATTTTTGATTTATGCCAAATATTGTAGCGTGGTCTGTGCTACACACTGTGGGTCTAGATACGGCCGAGGCGGTGAGGAAGTGGGGGCGAGATTAGTCCGATGACGGAGGGACACGAGGGCCAAAAAGAGCGGAGATCCAGGTGGAAAAAGGGTCCCAGCGTTCTCGCGCACCTCGCTCTTCTAGTGGGTCAAACTTCACGAGTTGTGAAGTTTGACCGCAATTTCGGTCATAAAAACAAAACAAGCCGGCCTCCTGTCTGCGGCACTGTTTGCGGTCAGCTACAATCTGGGAGAGGTGCAGCGGAGCGTCTCTCAAGGGGGCGGTGACGTTGACACTCTGGAGCCTTCTTCTTCTTCTTTTTTTTTAATGGCGATTGGCAAACAACTTATAGGTGCATTACCGCCACCTTCCAGAATGGAGTATGGACCAGACAAACTATTATATTCTCCCTAAAATACCCGTTCTTCTTAGAAAATAAAAAATACTCCCAAAAACTACATCCCCAGATGACCTTTGAAACAATTCCCTTATATCTAGTTTATTTTTATTCCTGTCTAACTCTCTACGCAACATCTCTCTTTCCTGAGTATATTTATTACATTCTAAAAAAATATGTTGGACAGTTTCTCTGGAGCCGAGGTATTGCATTGAACTCATTACACTGATATTGTGCAGTATTTTTGCAGTATTTTTGATGCAACTTTTCTACTTCTGTTATTTGCTGTTGTTTCTAAAGAAAATGCATAATGATATTACAGCTTTCATTGATTTATTTCAAACTTGAAACTTTGCTTAACCTGTAAGGTGTAAAAAAAATAAAATAAATAATAATAATAAAAAAAAATTAACCGATTAATCGAATCGAAGTGTATTCTTGAGTATAGAAAATAATCGAATCGTTGGGTCAGAAAATCGATACTGAATCGAATCGCCATGATGGATGTGATTTACACCCCTAGCCGTGAGCTCCAGGGCTGGTCGGGGCTGGGGACACCACAGTGAGGCAGGTGAGGTAGGGGGGTGGAAGCAGGGGGCCAACGGTGTCCAGGCTACCATCACCGGGTTCGGTTGGGTCGATCTGTCCCCAGCCACGACCAGCCCTGGAGCTCTTGGCTGGGTTCAGTTGCACTTTATTCGACCGAAACCCCGGAAGATTTTGAAATTCCAAACCCGACTCGGTGACGGTATGTTTCCAACACCGGGAGAATACCATCACCAGGTCGGGTTTGGTTGCTCCATCCCCGGTGGCCGGGGTTCCCGGTACGGTCCAGTCAGCGGCCCCAGCAGACACCCCCCCAAAAGAGAAACCCAAATATAATCACCATAGGTGTGAATGTAGCATAACAGTGGCTAGCTTCCAGCCATGGTGTCCTGCACGACGATTGGGGGGTCGATTCATCCATGTGTCAGGGTACGCGCACAGAGGGGAAGGGACATGCAGACGACCATGACTGATGTGTCAGGAACCAATCGTGTACAACAAACCATCTTTTGTGATTGGTTGAGGTTATCAATTGATTTCTCACTGTAGCGGGGACCATTTATTTTAGTTTCACGTCCAGACCTTCTATTTCCCTGCTTGCTAAGCGGCTGTGAGGAGATCTTTCAGCCACATGGGTAAAAAAAAAAAAAAGTGTCAGAAAAGATTTCCTCGTGCACCTTTAACCTAAATGTTTATAGACTGTGGGAGGAAGCCGGATTACCCGGAGAGAAACCATGCATGCAAAGGGAGAACATGCAAACCCCACGCAGAAAGACAGCAATCGAACCCACAACCTTCTTGTTGCAAGGCAGCAGTGTTACCCACTGTGCCACTGAGCAGCCCTGTAGCCAATTAAGTCTTAAAAATCAAAGTATATGAGAATATGATGAAAGTCGGGGGAAACCAATTAGAAAGAGTTGCACAGGCAACAACTGCCTCTAATATCCTTATAAAGAAAAACCCATCCAAGAGCTGACTGGGAAATAAATGTTCAATGGTTCAAAGTCCTCTTTTCAGATAAAGGTTCATTTTGTATTTATTTTATATTTATTATTATTTGGAAATCAAGGTTCCTGAGTCTGGAGGAAAACAGAATCCAAGTTTGGGGTCCAGTGTGACATTTTCAGTCTTTATGATGATTGGAGGAGTGCAAATCCTCTGATATTTTTGACATATTCATAAATGGACTAATTGTGCTTAACCCATGTTTTCCAAAACCTTCTATTCTTTTTTGTAATTGCAGTGCACCAACCATTTTCCTTAGCATCTTAGTCATGGAATATTCTATCTAGAGCTGCAACTAATGATTATTTGGCTAATAAATAAATTTGTTGATTTCTTTTTTTTTATTAGTTGATTAAAAGTCTGATAGAAAAATGTGCCTTAAAAATATCTTATCCATAAACCCCATGTTCTGATATAACTGATATAACATCTAAGAGCATGAAGAAAAATGGAGCACATTCAGATTTATAGTATAAGGTTTATTGGAAAAATAATTAGCCTTTTATTGGCAAACAGTAAAAGCCAATTGTAAAATTGTAATAAAAATAAATGGAGATAAAATGTATCAATGTCTTTTCATTTTGAGTGAGGACAGTGTGTTTAGGATAGGCTTACCTCAATACACCTCTTTAGGTCCGTCAGGTTCATGACCATGCCGGTTACAGGATCAATCTGCAAACACATTTCCAGGATACTGTTTTAAAATCAGTTTCAGTTTACTCTGATTTCAATAGAAATACTTGTTTGATACTAACTTTTCCACGCACAGTCACCTCCACTGTGGAGTAAAAGGACAACAGTCAAGTGAAACGGAGAAAACAGAGTTGGCTTAATGTGAAACTAGGTATGGATTATGTAACAGCCTAGGAGTGAGGAAGCTAAGCAAACCCTTGTAGTTGTGTCCATGACCATAGGGATTGTTGCACTTTCCGTAAACTTCTTTATTCTCCTCGTCATTCAGGTGAAGACTGGAAAAAGTTGCAGAAAATATATGAACAACAGCTCCTGGAATCTGATTCTTTTCAGCTTTTACAGTAGGGTTTTTGTGCTCTGATAGCACAGGTCAAACAAAAAAACACATGGGAAGGGGTTATTGACATTATTGCATAAAAGCACATTCTACATAGTACAGCGTAATCACTTAAAAATGATTCAGAATATGCATATTTGAAAGAATCCATACTCCATCCATAAACTGCAAAAAACTTAAATCTAAATAAGTAATTTTTTTTAAAATAAGTAACATTTCTTCTTGAATTGAGGAGGTAAGTGAGGCACTTTGCCAGTAGAACAGGACAATTTACACTTAAAATAAGTAAAAAAAAAAAAAATAGCTGTGTCTTATTTCAAGAGCATATTCTCTAATTATCTTATTTTAAGAGTAAACAATGTTATTCCATTGGCAGATCATCTTATTTACCTACTCAAATTAAGGACAAATTCACTTAATTTAAGACAATTTGTAGTTATTACTAGATTGTTTTTGCAGTGTACTCCATAAAAATAATCCAGTTGAAAAATGCTGCCTTTAAGGATAACATATGGTCAGATTTAAAACTACTAGAGGGTAATACTAATACTTATTTTTAATATAACACACACACAAAAAAAGCAATGCAATGTAACTAGATGTGTCACTAAACACTAAATTAGGCAGTTTTAAACTACAATAAAACTTTTGTAAAGCCTAAAAAAACTGTCATTTTACAGCCTAAAAATTTTTATTTCACAAAAATGTTTATGTATTTGCAATTGAATATGTTAGTTTTATGACTGAGGCTTTCTGTAAATACTCCACAAATAAAATGTATTTTTCCGACACAATTAACGACACATCTGTCACTACCCAATCTGTCCCTGAAACACGAGTCCATAAATAATGTGTCCATAAATATTATTTGTAGAATATATACATGTATATATGTATACATACATATGCACAAATGACACTCCCCAGCGCATATGTTTGTCAATCCGTTTGTCTTTCCACCTGATTTTATTATTTTTTTGTAACATGCCCCCTGGCATATTTGTTTACTTATATGTTTTATATATTATTGTTGACTTTAAGTGGGAAAAAAAATGTGTCCATAAATAATGTCATTATGCAACTAAAATTACTTATTTCTATCCGTAACTCACTGTAGAATACTAATACACATATGTAAAAAATGTGTTATGAGTTTTTTGAGACAATTTTTATGCTTTTTACATTTTCTCCATCCAAAATATTATTAAACCATGTTTATCTGCATTTTAGTTGTTTCTTTCTATAGAAAACGCACTATATACAATAAGGTTAAACGAAACGAAAACATAAAACTCAAAAAGACTAGATTTATGTGTTAATCCAAAGACTGAAAGTTAACCACCGGAAGTTGCGTTTGATCCCATTTCCGGTGCAGATCGGGCAGAGACGACTGATAAAATAAAGGATTTTAAGGCATTTATTTTCACACAAAAAAGAGATTATTAACATTTAAGATATTATATTTTAGCACATTTACTATTTTGGGTGAGGGAAAACGTCATTTAGACCCAGGTGTTTATCTGGATGCGCATGCGCAGAACGGATCGAGCGTCCAGCGTCATAAAAGCTCCGTAAATCAAATAAAAACTACAAGTCCCAGAAGAGCTTGCTCATATATGCTCTTTCTTTCTGTAACCCATAACTGTCAATGTATTCACAAATCCATCGTATTTGATTTCTTCCCATATTACGTAACGTGGAGTTTAAACGTGAAGTTTGTTTCCCCTCGTGCATTTCAGGAAAAAGCAGCGCTGTTTTATTCCAGCCCGTCTTTTCTCTGGCGTTAAAAAAAGAAACGTTGGTAGCAGTGTGTAGAGTACCTGTGGAGTCTGTGGCAGGCGCTGAAGCTCTGGACTCGGGTTATATATCCGATGCGCACCGCTGCCTTGTCGTTCCCAGTGGATTCGGCCATGTTGGCTGCAGAGGCAGAGCTGAGGATGGAGAATAAAACCCAGCTGTCTGCTGTCAGACCTGCCAGTGACTCAGGCTGTCCGCCATTGGCTCATTTATGGGCGTAAATAAGCTCACATGGCTACACGGTTATAAAACCAGGACTGAACCGTGATTTAACCACAGCAAACTGTTTACACGCTTTAGTTAAAAAGTGAAGAGATCTTTGTTCACATTTTTCTTCCATGTAATTTATCCCAGTTTTCTCTAAAGGAGTCCTTTTCTCCCACTTCAAAGAAAAAACAAACTGCTGTATTGTATATCATAAGGGATTCTAAGTAGTTGAAATTATGATGTTAAAAGTCATAATTAGGAGCAAGAAAGCTCCTGTTATTTTAAAAGGTTAGATTTAGGATTTTTTTCCCCCTCCTAAATCTAATTTAACCCTAATTTGACCCTAATCATGAGTTTTTAATTTAATATTTTTGACTTTAAAGCTTATTTTTCAAAACCTTTAACCATAATTGTTGTAAAAAGTCATGATATTGAATTTTATGATTTTGGTTTTATATCGTACTAGTTTATCGCTCGTAAATATAACTTTTATTATATAACAAGAGTGTCACTCAAAAGAAAATAATCAATTTCCAAATGAAATGTTTAAATTATAGAATAAACATCTAATTTTAAAAGCATTTTTGTAATGCCCCACTTTCAACGGTGTAACAACAGAACAATAGGCCTGTAAAGAACATTATCTGGGTGGGCCCCAATGAAGTACAACATAATAAAGGTTTAGGCCAAGAATATACAATTATGCAATTCTTAGTAGTATATGATCACACATAACACACGGAAAAATAGTGACTGCGCACCTTGAATGGAACTATTGGTTACAGACATCCCAAGTTCCAAAAACTAATTTCAGGGAGATGCTTATTGAACCCGGTTCTTTGAAAGAACCTGTTTATTTTGGAAAAGTACATCACTAACACATTGTAATTTCAATTCAGTTTATCTATAGCGCCAGTTCACAACACATGTCATCTCAAGGCACTTTCCAGTTCACCAGATCATACCGTCAAATTGATTCAGAGTTTTCTATCTAAGGAAAACCAGTTAATTGCATTGACTCATTGACGCGGATGCAATCCCTCACACTAAGCATAAGGAAAAACTCCCTTTTAACAGGAAGAAACCTCCAGCAGAACCAGGCTCAGTGTGAGCGGCCATCTGCAGAGGCCGATTGTACGTAACGATTATGGTTTTAATCTACGCTCTGGATTACACATAATTCCAAGTCGTAGTGTAAAAAAATCAAATACTCAAATACATTGTTCTTTTAAAATCTTTATTGCGGTTTGAAACATATTATATGAGTGTATCTTTTACCAACTATCTAATGAACTATATACAGTTGTTAACATAGTAATTAAAAGTACCGCTGTCTGCTTTGCTATTGGTGTCGTGTTTAATCGGCTCACCATCATGTTGAAATCTGCCATGTGTTGCAGTATAAATAAGGTCCAGTGTGGTTTAGTATCAGGTGGGTTTAAGAGGAATTTTTTGTACCATTACATCTGCAAAGAGACGACCTAGTTGACAAATAAGTTGGGGGCCTATCAGGTGTCAATGATGGGGCCCCTAAGAAGTCTTGGGCCCATAAGCAACTGCTGTCTCTGCTTACCGATATTTACGCCATTGCCCACTTAAATTGTGAGAGAGGAATGTAAATTGTATTTTTTAATATCCAGTTATAGATATTGCAATCGATAAGTTAATTTTCAAATATTTTTTGTCTAAATGTACAATTTAAAAGCACAATTTATAATTCTGATTACAAATGTCTTTCTTTGTTGCCCAGTTAAAGAAGGAAATCCTTTTAATCCTTTTCTTATTTCTTTTCACCTTTTCAAATAATTTCTGCAATTGCATTTTTTTCTCTCTCCTTTTATTAACTGGTCCCTCTGCGTTCTCCTAATGGTTTTCCTTATTCATTTAACTTTGGTGTAACCTTTTTAATAAACAGTACTGTTAATAAGCCGTAGCTACACTGTTCTCAAACTATTAATATGATTTTAACCTATTTAAAAAGGTTAAATGCTTGTTATCAAACTGAAATAAACTGTAACTAAACTAAACTTTACCATTGATAAATCGACACTAAACTCCTAATATACTGTAACTAAACTGTAACTAAGCTGTAACTAACTTGTTAATGAGCTGTTGTTGGGTTACTGTAATACTAATTTGAGAAGGTCAAGCAAAAATATGTTGTTGCAAAAGGAATTTGAAAATGCAACGGGACAAAGAAAATAGAAATTATTTTCATGATCTATGATTTAACAGCTTGAAATGGTTGTTTTTCTTGATCGACTCCTCTGGTTCTCTATTCATTAGCTACCTTTTATCCCAGTTTTTACAATTTTGCAGTTTAAAACCATAGCTTTAAAAGATATAGCACCTTTAGAAAAAAAAAATTAACCGCTGAATTTTCACCCCCTCTTTTTAGGCCACCTTTTGGAGCCCAAAACAAACTAAAGACCAAAGGAACCAAAGCTGTAATCCAGAGAAGATACCTCTCTAATCGCCAACCTTAACTGAGCAAAAGCCTTTCCTGCTACCAGCTTTTTAGTCTAAAAAGTTAGAAAGCTTGTTTCTAATAACTTAGTGGTTTTTCACACTTTTTCCATGCTTTGAGTTCACATGTTGGCGTCTAGAACACTAAATCTGGGAAGAAACAGTCTGGTGATTCTCACATGACAGCCGTAGAGTTACCCTTTTTATTCATACATTAGAAACTTATCAAACCAGTCTAATAAAAAATCTGCATCTCTTGCATTTTGTCTTAAATTGTTTTTTTTTTAATCAATATAACCGTATATACTGTAATAATAGTGAACACACATTAACAAAGGGGAAAAATTTTATATGATCTGGAAGCTTCAGTGGGGAGCTTATGTCATCTTAGCAGCAATAACAGAAGGAAAGTGTCCCTAAAAACGTGAGCCTATAGGTCATGTGTTTTTTATTTTACCGTGACTTTTCTGTCTTTCTCTCCATTGTTATCTAATGCTGAAAAGTGAGATGAAATGTGGCAAACTAAAAAGGTGCCATCTTTCAACCGGAAAAATGGGAGACACTGAAAAATGTCTTGGCTAAGCGATAACACAGTACTGGACATTTAAATGTTGGTTTTTCCAGATTATATCTTCACAAAAATACTTTAATTTAAACAGCGGCTATGCTAATCAATATGTAAGAGTATGTTTCCATACCATTCCATCACTGTGCAAACAGAGACTATATATTGTCAGCCATTTTTTTTTTTTTTTGCTACTATCAAATAGCAAATCAACCCAAAACCGGAACCCTTTCACAGTTAATCAGATTTTATGGCCAGATGATGTCATGGTTTGATAAACTTTTGAAAGCCTAATTTGTGAAAATTAATTGGAGGCAGTTCTGCGCTCCGAGAAGTGAACCAAAAATATGTAAAATGTTTATGAATTAAGTGTATTTGCACTTGATTCGAGTGGGTAAGTAAAGTGATCTGTAAATGGAGTGATACGATTTTTTCATTAAAAATAAGATAGAAGAAGAACTCTCTATTATCTTATCTCAAGCAGAGTATATAAAATAATCTTGTTAAAGTATCAAAAATACTTATTTCATAGGCAGATAATTTTACTTACCTCCTCAAATGAAGGGTAAATACATTTAGATCTAGAGGAATTTACTGTCACTTTACCAGACACTGGCTAAAGGTCTGCTGCTCCACTTAAATAAAAGCATGTCCAGAATGTGTGTGCTTGAACATCAGAAGGAAGAAAAATAAACACTCTGTAGCTGACTTTTAATGATAACGTCTATGGTTATCAGATTTATCATGCGAGGTGACCACAGTCTATGAGTAAGCAATACATTCTGGTCTCTAAATCCAATTCAGCTTGGGTTATGTGACGAATATCAGTCGTGTGATTGGGGGTATGCCTGTATTTCATGTTTGTGTATGTGTGAAGTTAGGCACTAACCTATTATGCAGTCACTATCTAGAAACTGCTTCAGAAAACAGTTATTTGATAATAAATAGGTTAATAACATAAGTCAGTAAAGAAATGCGAGTGAATACCCCCTTGTTTATTAAAGGTAGATATCTTAATATCAGTTTTTTAGAATGTGCCCCATTCATGGCCCCAAGGTGTAATTTATTTATTGGGATTTTAAAAATGTGTTCCAAACATTTATGAATACAGTAATACTGTCTTTTTCCCCAAATTAGATGATTTCCAGATGTATATATTTATTAACAGTGTTGTCCAGGTGTTACTATGTAGTGACTTCTTTGATTTGCAGTTAAGAATTGTTTTCATGGTGATATAGAGATAAACAAGTATTGGATAATAGATTTAACTGGAAAAAAAATCCACTCTAATTACATTGCCAAGTAAACAGAGGGTTGGTGAAACAGGGACTCTGAAACTTAAAATGCCGATAAAATCATGATTGTTTTGTTGCTAAATGACAATTTTTTTTGTGCTTGTGTGCTTGGAGTGTTTTACATCAGAGAGAATGTCCACTCTTTTTGAAAGGAAGGGTTAAAGTCAGGATTTCTTTGGAGGGAGGTATTAAAGGGGTCAAGGAATGATTATAGAGGGTATTTGGTGCTGGTCCTTAAGGTCTCTGAATAGGGTGTATAACATTGGTTGGGCTGAAAATGGCATATTTGCTGTTCTATGAGCCTAATGAAAGCCTGGTTAAAAGGCCCAGAATGAAATGACAGGTTTTTGTTGGGATCTGGAGTTGTTCCACCTTTCCCCAGCAGAGTGCGCCGTGGGTTCTCTGGGCTGGAGCTCACCAGCACACCTGGAGCTCGTCAGCCCATTAGAGGACCCCTCTACTTAAGCAGATGCCAGACCTTTCTTCGACGCCGCAGTGTTAGCTAAGTTTGGTTAGCGAGCCTGAGCCTCCTTGTCTTTGAATTTTGGCCCCTAGAGAAAACTGAATTCTAACCAGCCTTTGTCTTGTCGCTCCTAGGAAAACCTGTCTCTCGTGTGAAGCTCTGGGAGAGCTTAATCTGAATCTGCCTGCCTGCCCTAGAGAGCCAAACCT